TTTTTTTTTTTTTTTTTTTTTTTTTTTTGGTACTGGGGATCAAACTTGGGTCCTTATGCTTGAGAGACAGGTGATGGCACCATTGAGCTGAATTCCTGGCCCTAATCTCTGCCTTTTAAATGACAATTTTGGTTCATTTACATTTAATATAATCATTGGAATAGATGAGTTTAAGTCTACTATTTTTTATTTGTTTCCTTTGGGGCCTTATTGTTTCGTTTATTTCACTTTGTTTTACTCTGTTGTATTTTTCTTTCCTTCTTTGGGCTAAAAAATATTTTTTCATATTCAACTTTATTTCATGTATTGGCTTTTCAGCTCTACCTCTTTAATTATTTTCTAGGGTGCTGGGCCAATGATATGCATCTGTAATCTACTGAAGTCTACTTAGAGTTAATAACGCATTATTTTGCCCTTCTGCCACGCATCTGACACTGTCCACTTCTAATTATCATTCTAACACTCTCTGCCTTGACACAGACTTCAGGACTGAGTCGTACTGATAATTTAAAAAGGCAAATGGACCAAACATCCAGTTAAAAGGCAGAGATGATCAGAATGGGTATAAACACAAGACCCAGCCTCAAGCTGCGTGAACTCCCCTCCACCCCCCAGGACAGAACTAGAAAGCATCCAAGAGATGGGCTTTGGGACCTTCGAGGAGCTCAGCAGACCCCAGCACTGGGCTGGGAGCAGGACACAGTCTGTGCCTGGTGCCTTCTCTTCCTGGCTCAGTCTCAGAGCTGCCAGGACAGCCCTTGGAGCATGCTTGGGGCTATTTCACCACAGAACATTCCAATGGCCCTTCCTCACTGTGGCCACATATCCAGCTGAAACTCTCCTTAGCTCCAAATGGTGAGAACTCCTCAGGAGGGTCTTGCCTGCTTTATCCATCAGGGCCACAGACTAGGATCTCCTGTTTGGCACTGGGAGTGACACAGGCAGGCAAGGCAGAAAAGGCCAGATATGGGCTGTGCCACTAATGGGCTATATGACTTTGGATGAATCCCTTCACCTCTCTGAACTATGGGGGCCTCCTCTGTGACAGGCACTGGACAGCCCAGAGCTGCTGTGTGAATGGTGCCTTGGCATGAAGCCCAGAGCAGAGGCCCTGATAACCAAACTTGCAGAGAAGCTGGGAGTGTTTCATGGGTTACAGACCATGGAAACTTCAAACCCTGGGCCTGATGAGCAAATGAAGATCTACTTCGTGCATGTTTTCAGGAGACCATACAGCTGCTGAAACTCATGGTGGATCTGTCCCAGTCAAGGCAGGGAGCTGCTCCTGCCATGAACCGAGGGTTCCAGCCCACAGGTACCAAGGTCACACGACCCAGCTATCCATGCCCGGGGGCCCTGGCAGCACTGCTCCAAAGTGCTGCATGGGTTCAGATCGGACCTTCTCCTTTGTCAACAGCTCTGCATATTTCCACGATGAACACACTTTCCTTCTGAAACAAGGAAACAAAAGCCCAGAAAGATTCAGTCTTGGTGGGCTCCATCCCTCTTTACCATGGCTCCTCTCCTGCAACAGAAAGAGTGGCGACGTTGTGCGATACCTTCTCCCTTAACACCAGCGAGTGGACCAGCAGTTCCAGTATGGAGGTGAAAGGGATTCTGGGAGAAGCTTCTCCCCTATGGTGCTGTCCTCGGCGTGGGACCTCAGCCAGAACCAGATGGCCAGGTTGAAGTAAGTGACCTCAGCTCTCTCAGCCTGGGCTTCCTCATCTGTGAAATGGAGGTGGTTTTACTTTTGAGACAGGGTCTCCCTATGTAGCCCACCTCGAACTTGTGGTGATCCTCCTGCCTCAGCCTCCCGAGTGCTGAGTGCTGGAATTACAGGTGTAAAGCACCATGCTCTGCCAAAAGTGCCACTTCTGAGTGCCGAGTTGAGGCCCAAAAGAGAGAACATGGGAGACAGCTCCTGCCCGGCACCATCTCAGTGTTCTTGGGTCCGCTTGGGCCTGGCTCTGACACGTGTGATGCCCGGCTGGACGCTGCAGAGCTCGGTGTCCTCATTCCTCTGTGGGGCCACACAGGTGCTGCCTGGCGGAGGAGCAGACAGGAGCCCAGGAGGTAGGTACCCAGGAAAGGTCTTGGCAGACGTCCCATGCCACAGGACAGTGGGAGCCAATGGCACTTCCCTGCCTCCAGTCTCACCCTGCCTGCCAGTTGCCTGTGAATACTGACTATTCTTGCACTTTCTCATACACATGCAAGGTCTTTTCTCAGGACACAGGCAGGCACCACATAATCAAAGCAGGGCAGTTCTCATTCTTTCCCAATGGTACCCTGCCTGGGATGGGTGTGATACAAGCATGTCAACCCACACTTAAGGCTGAGCCCATGGTGACACTGCTCTGGAACAGAACACAGGGAGTAGAATGTGCAAAGGCCCTGGGGTAGAGGGAGGAAGGGATGACAGACCCCACAGGATGTAGAGTGACATGGGAGGAGAGATGGGTGGGCCACGCTCAGGGCAGTGTTGTGATAATACCACACTGCATGGTTCGCACAGACTGCAGCGGTGGAAGCAGGGAGGCCAGCGAAGGACTCCCAAAGCACGGGTGAGTGTGCCAGGGAGATGGAGGGGCTGGGGCACGAGACAGTGCCATGGTCACAGCAGGAAGGGGCCCGGGACAAACAGTGGGACCTGAGACCACACCCAGGACATGCAGAGCCCAGGCCTGCAGGCCCCCCACGCCCCGGCTCCGGTCACTCACCAGACTCGGCCACCTCGGCAATGGGCACGCCCTGCTCGTAGGCCATGAAGCCCAAGACTGAGAAGATGGCAAAGCCGGCCACAAAGCTGGTGCCGCTGTTCAGGCAACAGAGCATGACGCAGTCCCTGCGGGGACAAAGACGGGCCTGAGTCAGCGCCTGGCATCCTCCGCTGGGTGCCACGGACGACCAGGGAGGGGAGGGCAGGCACAGACGAGGCTCTGGAGGCTCAGAGAGGCTGGGTGGCCAGTGCAGGGCCACACAGCTTCTCCCCACTTCGAGAGGACAAGGTGGTCATGGGTCAGAGCACAGAGTGTGGGGTTGGGAGGCTGGCACGTGGGGGTGCAGATCTAACGAGGGCAGGAGAGGCGGACACCCATGTTCTTCTGGGTCCCCGGAAGGGGGAAAGCCTGGGGGTGGTCAGAGCCAGCAGGATGGAGCAGGGAGCTTTGGTGACGGACGGGGCTGTGCCTCCGGCAGGAAGAGCCCGTGTCGCATTTGGAGCTTGGTGGCTGAGCTGGGACTATGGGGACACCATCCTGGCCACACCACCCCAGCAGCATCTCCACACCCCATTGCCTTCTCTGCCTCTCTGTTCCCACTCGCCTGGCCTTGCCCCTCTTCCAGCAGCACACCAGGATGGAGCAGGCATAAAGAGAGCCACCTTACTGCCTCTTCTCCTAGCACCATAGCTTTTGTAATGCAACCAAAGGTTATGCTGATGTTGGTGACTCTGCCACTCTGCAGTAACCCCTGTGTCCTAAACCCCCACCCCCGCCCTGTGCTATCTGTCCTTTGGGCCCAGTCTCCCCTGCTGCAGAAGAGGTGTTTGGAAACAGCCCAACTGTCCATCAACAGGAGACTGCATAAAGAAGATGTGTTTTTTTAAATAAAATGGAGTACTACTCAGCCCTAAAGAATGAGAAACTAGGGACATCAGAGCTAGTGGATGCACATTAAGGCCATACTCTTAAGTGAAATGAATAAGTCACACAGGTGTGAACACCGAATAGTTTCTCTGGTGTGAAAAGTAAAAGTGTAAATAAGGATCAAAATGTATAACTGATACTGTGTAATAGGAAGAAAAGGTCTAAAGGAGTAGGGGAAATGGGAGGGGGAGGGAAAGGTAAAAAGGGGAAAGAAAAAATATGAGAAAAGGAAAAACATGGGAACAAAGTCCTCGTAAACAGGGAACGGTGGAGGGGTGCGGGGAGGGGAGTAGGGAAAAGAATGAGAACCGAGACCTGTCGTGTAGAGGTACAGGATCCCCGCGAGGAATGCGACTGTACTGCAGACCTAAAATGCACCAATAAACTTAATAAAGATTAAAAAGAAGAGGGGCTTGGATTGTCCGGGGGGCCTTGTGCAGATGGAGTCGTTTCTCGGGAAGCAGACGGTCCCACCCCGCTGACTCTGCTGCGGCCACGTGACTTGTTTGGGACCAGGAAACTAAGTGGATGCGACACCACAGGGGCTTGCGTTGTCACTCAGCTGGACTCGTCCCTCCATGCCCCAGAGCGGCCGCCTGTCAGCCTGGACCCACATGGCACACACAGCAGGGAGGGGGGGACCCGGGGCCAACCCCACCCGGCCCCCAGCTGCAGGGCAGCGCCCCAAGCTGAGCAGCAACCTCGGAGCCATAATAGCAACACGCGCCCGAGGCCCGGGGCTATTTGTTATGCAGCACCCTGGGACACTGGGTGACACATATGGTCCCCTTAAACGATGTTTCTGGCTCTGTGGGCACTGGCAGGGCTGATGGACCCGGGGATGTTACCTGCAAACCTGAATTTCCTCTGCTCCCAGGGGAGAGAAGCGTGTTCTCTGCAGGGGCTATGTTCTGGCACCCTCCCGTCCTGCTCTTTAGGGACGTGCCATGTGTCACCCGAAGGAGGACCCCAAGGCCCGAGGTCCAGAAACGGTCACATGGCCCAGCTGTCACCGATGCCCTGTCTGGGAGCTGAATGCAAACAACACAGACTCCCAAAGCCTGACCTCTGGACAACTGTCTCGGGCCTCACACAGGTGAGCGATGACTGTCCCTCATCACAAAACCCCTATCCTCCCACAGCAGCCTGTTAGGTGACCTCCTCGTACCCCAGAGGGGCGGACGAAGGGACAGAGAGGCAGGGGGACCTGCAGTCCCTTCCAGCCCATAACCTGCCTGCCCGTCGCCAGCGCGCCTGAAGCCCACGTAGCCTGCAGCCTGGTCACTCTGCCCACTCCCTGGCCGGCTATGTAATAGCGCTTTGAAGTCAGCAGGATGCTGAGCTGCTCGGGCGCCTGTTTCCGCTCTGCATCAGGAAGGCCCGTGCACAGGGCAGTGTGAACACAGAACACAAGTGGGCCTTGTGATGCTGCGATGTCCCCTGGGGGGCCTGCTGTCTCCCGCTGATGAGAAAGCAGGGAGAGAGAATCCCTGCCTTCGGGGAGCCACAGAGGCCAGTGCTTATCGCCACCTCGGCAGGCAGGAAGCACTGCCCCAGATGCGGGCTGGTGGCAAGCCTCGGCCCACAGCCGCGAAGGACGTGGCCATCCCTGGTGTGGAAGCCAGGAAGGCGGGGTGGGAAGCCAGCCGCCTCCAGGGACGCAATAGCACCGCCCTGCCCGAGCCAGCACAGGTGACAACCACTGTCTTGCTTCCTCACTAGAGTGGGGTGCAGTTGAGGACGCCCCTGGGGCCTCACACAGTGACAGCACGAGGCCATAGCAGTGATGGAACCTTTGCCCTTTGTGCATCTCAGTCTGGCCGAGGAGCTCAGGGCTCAGGCATGAGAGGCTGGGCAGCCCGGGGCAGCCACTGCAGGAGGCCAGGGAGCCTGCCAGGCCGGGGCCAGGTGGCAGCCCAGGCCGCAGGCAGGGCGGGTAAAGGACGTGAGGCAGAAGGGCGAGTGCTCAGTGCTGGAGGTTCCCGCCTGTGCCGCTTACTGGCCGTGTGGCTCTGATGCAGCCCTCTTCCTCCAGGGTACCCCAGACCATGCAAGGTAGCCGAGGCCGAGACCCCAGGGCGGATGCACCTGGCGCCTGCAGCTGACGCAGATCTGACCTAGGGCAGGTAGAGGTCGGCTGGGCCGCCTGTGCCCTCATGGGCGATCAGGATGTAGCAGGGCAGCAGGGGTAGGAAGCGGCAGGCCCGGCCGCTCACCTGTAGCAGTTGTTGTTGTAGTTGTTGTAGCTCCCCAGGGCAGTCAGGCAGCCCAGGCAGATGGCATAGGAGAAGAAGATCTGCGTCCCGGCGTCCACCCACACCTGCAGGCACAGGGCAGCAGGCAGGAGAGGCGGTCAGAGTCAGTCGGGGAGGGCTTGATCTCCCATGTGGCCCCCACCCTCCAAAGAAATGCACAAAGTGACCATCAAACTTCCTACCTTCTCATGACACCCGTGCACCCCATCCCCCTTTTTTCAGACGGGGTTTTGCTATGTAGTTCAGGCTGGCCTTGAACTCTCGGCAATCCTCCTGCTTCAGCCTCCTGAAGGCTGGGATTAGAGGCCTGTGCCACCATGCCTGGTTAAAGACCAATTTTCAATGGAACTATATTCTTGGGAACTACCTTCATTCACTAGAAAAGCCCTTAATGAACTCCAGAGTTTCCCAGAGGGTCTAGATAATAAAGAGCACACTGGACAGCCCAAATCTGGATATCCGGGTCCTTAGCTGAGCTGTGTGACTTGGGAAGTTGCTCAACCTCTCTGAGGTTCAGGGTTATCATCCACAAAGCAGGAAAGGAGCTTCTACCAGGACTGCTGGGAAGACTCATGAGAGGTACAGGTCTCTGGAGGGAGGAGTCACTTCTAAGCCCAGGCCTAGGCTCTTCCCTGGGATGAAGGCCACGGTTGCACTGAACACCCAGGAGGGGTTCAGGGCCCAGCAAGTCGTGATCAGCTTCCAAAACAGATCCCTCTGCTTCCCATGCAGCGCACATGGTAGCTACTGTCTGAGTCACCAAGTCGCCCAAGGACCTATGCCTCACAGGTCACACCAGCTTTCCTGGGGTCGCCTGGGTGCTCTCTGCACTCAGCTCCTGCAGTCACCAAGGAAAGTCTATTGCAAAACCCGACATGGCTCATGGGACTCGCACCTGGCATCCAGTGCCACCAGGGAACAGGGCCCCTCACGGCAGATGACACATAGCAGATGCTAGGTGAGAGCTGCGGCTGTGTGGGCACTGTGCCCACGGCATACGACGGTTCAGCAACCCTCGGCCCTCTGAAGGCTGAGGAGACCGAGGAATGAACAGAGGGCAGCAAGTGTCCGAAAACACCTAGCAAATCCACCGACACTTGCGGATACATGTTTACTTCCTCTCCGGCTTCAAAAGTCCTCTTCAAAAGTCTCCCAACAAAGCACTCTCTTCTGAGTCCTCCTGACAGAATAGTCTCTGTTTGATTACTGCCAGTGGCAGGGAGCTCACTACCACCCAACACAGCCCTTTCTTGTTTAGAGAGCTCTAGTAGAACATTTCTTTAAATGAGAAGAGCTCTCCCTTACTGGGTTCCTGACTTCAGGCTCACACAACCACAGTGTTCTCTTTCATGTGGAAGCACTTTACAGTTCAGGAGGAGCTGAGGCCAGGGAGACAGAAACATCCGGAAGAGCAGAAAGCCAGCTCCCAAGCACGACCAGATGCCATCATGCGGCACACAGGTGCTGGCTTTCCCTACTCTGAGCCCACCCATCTCTGGGGTCACAGATCTTCGCTGTTCCTATGCAGAGGCGCTTGATGGGGAGGCAATCAAAGCTACGTCAGCCACAGCAACTGGCCAGGGGTGAGCAAAGGAGGTGAGTCAGCCAGGGTCCTGTGACGTTGGCTAGAGCAATGGCAACAGGATGCCTTCTTTTTTCCTTTTCATTCATTCTTTTGTTTTCTTTTTTGAGACAGTCTTGCTAAGCAGTTCAGGCTGGCCTTGAACTCACTATGTAGCCCAAGTTGACCACGGTGATCTTCCTGCTTCAGCCTCCTGAGGGCTGGGATGACAGACTCGTGTCACTACACCCAGCGGGACACCTTCTTTTCTGATGGAGATGTTCAAATTACAAATTCTGGGAGCCATCATTGCCCACAGGGGAGAACTTGCCTGGGAATAAGAATCAAGACACTCTATAGGCAAGCAGAGTTGGGAAACAAGCAAGTCAGATCCTGGGGACATGACTTGAGTCCCTGGACCCAGCCACACCAGATACCAGTTCTCCAAGAACTTTCCACTTCAAAGGATCGTTGATGCAAATCAAACTGAAAACTTTCTGATGAACAGCAGTGTTAAGCTCTGACAAAACCCAGAGGGTATAAACCCTGATCCTTCTTCCATGAGTTGTGAATTATTGGTGGAACAGCACATACAAAACGCCTTTTGTGTGCAGAATCCTGGGCTAGGCTCCGGAGGAGGCGATGCGAAATTATACAGTGCCACACCTCTGTTCTCAGGCGAAGTAAAACATGCAGAAAACACGACGCCCAGTGCCTGGGAGAGGTGGGTGGTCGGGGAGAGCAACCCAAGAAGGCCTGGAGAAGGGGGCATGCCTTCTCCCTACCTCCTCTTCCCTCCTGACCTCTCCAGGAAAAAGCCTGTGTTTTCCATTATGTTGGTTACCACTACATCAGAATCTTTATGCAATATCCTAAGTTAGCCTTTTGTGGTAGCAGGGATTGAACCCAGGGCCTTTGCACTGAGCTACACCCCCAGCCTCCTTTTGATTTTTATTTGACACAAGGTCTCATTATGTTGCCCAGACTGGCCTTAAGCTTGTGATCCTCCTGCCATAGCCTCCCAGAGTGCTGGGATTACAGGTGTGATCCACCAGGCTGGTCGTCCAACCCCCTTCTTAAACACTACCTACTGTGAGCGATATTGAAGCCAGCCGGTAGCTTCTGTTTCCCTTTCTTCCCTTTCCTTGACTATCTACTTTGAGTAATTTCCCCTTTGCCCCCAGTTAATACTTCTAAGTCTGTCTGCGGACTGATTCTGTGCTGATTTTCATATCTACTCTCTACTTGTCCTTGATTGTTAACATACCAGCTCTATCTGCATTACCTAACACACAAGCATCATGTACTGTGTTAGTTCCCTTACAGCCACTAAGCACTGTGAATTCGACAGGTGACTAGAGACACAATGCTCACTGCCAGCCCTCAAATGAACACCTTTCCAGCCTATCTGGTTGTCTGTGCCTCATTCTGTAGCAAATGCTTTGGCAAAGGTGCATACGACATCATAACCACTGGACTCTTGCACGGGCACAATAGTCGGTTTGGGGCTTTCATCCTTGAGAGTCTGTGTGGCCGGATATGAAGTCTTAGGCCCCCTTTTCTTTCCCTGAGTCCCCGATGTGCTGTTGTATTGTCTTCTGGAGGCAAAGTGCTACTGTAGAAAAGCCTGATGCCAGTCAAATTCATTTCCACTTAAAATGCACTTCTTCTCGGTGTCTGAATGCCCAGCAGGGTTCTCCTCCTTCTTGGCAATTTTATTAGCCCACGTCTCTGTCCAGATGCAGCCTCAGAGACCTCTGCACATCCATGTTCTATGTAGCGTGACTCACCAGGGAACAGAAGCAACCTTGGCACTCACCAACTGATGATAAAGAAAATGTGGCCCGTGAACGCTGAGCAATACGATTCCACCTGAAAAGGAAGAACTCCTGTCATCTGCAGAAACACAGATGGATGCGCGGTCAGTATGTGACGTGGGACACGCCAGGCACGGAACGACCAGGGCTCTCACTCATGTGAAAGCTGAGAGCAGAATCGTCACAAGAGGCTGGGAGGGTGAAGGGAGGAAGGGCTGGGTACTGAGTAACAATGGGTACGAAGCCACGATGAGATGGCATTAAGGAGCTCCGGTGTGCACAGCAAGGTGACCACGACAGCAACAAAGTGCTGTGCATTTCGGTGTCTAGGAGAAAGCTTTCACCACAAAGCATAAATGTATGAGGAGATAGGAAAGTTTAACCCGATCTAAACATTACACAAGATATAGATAGATAGATATACCTCAAAATGGCACAAACTGCTCCATTAATATGTACAATTTTATATTTTTACATATCAAAAACAAATTTAAATAATGTAAGATCGAGTCTGTTTTATTTCAAGAGGGGGGAAAAAATCCCCAAATTATTGCTTCTGCATTTATTCTCTGCATTGCTTTGCTTTTTTCTTCAGGGTCTTGTGTGTGTGTTGCACCTTCTTTATCATCTATACTGCTGATTTCTTGTGTTCTCTTAAAAATCTCTGTTCATTTCTTTTCTGTCTTTGAGACAGGGTCTCTCTTTGTAGTGCAGGCTGGCCTCGAACTCACTATGAAGCCCAGGCTGGCCTCAAACTTGCAGCAATCCTCCTGCCTCAGCCTCCTGAGTGTTGTGATTACAGGTGTGCGACACCACACCTGGCCCTCTCTGCTCATTTCTGTCTCTTTACTTCACCCCTTTTTATCCTCTATTTATCATCTGATACTATCCAGAGTTGCTATTCGCTCTTTTATTCTGTCTAGTTACATTTTCTGAGATAGATTTCCTTTTATAAGCCGTCCTTCCTGTTAGCACTTTTTTTCAAATCTTCTTTTATTTTTTGTCTAACATGGTGAGATGTTCAGGAGACAGGTAGAAACTCCGTGGCTAAACACAGGTCTGGGCCAAAGATGGCGATCTGAAAGCCACAAGGGCTTTTGCAGTAACTCAACTTCTTCTTGCCTGGAGACCCAAACTTCCTCCACGAGTCTCTCACGTTGTCCACACGAGAGGAACTTGTGTTGACAGCAGCTTTCCCGAGACACAGGCTTGCTGAGCAAAGCGGGCTTGGAGCACACGCAGGGCTGCATTTCTTGTAAAATTCCCGAGAAGACCCCGAGCTGTGTCATCTCGCGGAGTCCACTTCCTGCCGCAGCAGACTGGTGTCGTGGTGCTCTCACCCACACAGGCTAGAGCTGTGTGGCAGGCCCGCTGCTGGCCTCATCCTCTGGTCCCAGAGAGCTGCCCTGAGTCAAGAGTGTCCACAAGGTTGTGCTGGGCCACACAGAGGCCCTAGGACTGCGGTGTTCAGCACGGTTCTGGCTTCTTTCTCAGCCCATGAAGCTGGTGAGTAGTGATGTGAGCCCTTTCCACTCTCTTGACCTCAGCACTCAACACTAGCTCCTGGCCCAGTCTTGGGGAGAGAGGAGCAGAGCACTACAGCCCAGGGGCCCAGGCCTAGAGCCTTGTTACACAGCCCCAACCTAGAAGGAAGAAGGCCTGGGAAATGTGGGTTCAATACATAAGC